TCCTGGTTCTCCTCCCCTGAGGGAGCCATTATTTGTACATTAGTCCAGATATTGATACAGAGTGTTTTCAAGGTAAGCATTTTTTCCCCACAAATGTTAGCATAGAACACAACACATTCTGTTCTTTTATCACTTAATGCTATCAGATATCATTTTGTTATCTTGTGTTATACCTCTGAGTTCTTGAATTTTCTTTGAAATAACACAAGACGTCCACTTAGTCTTTGTGAAATGCTTATGTCTGTTTCCCTTTTTAATGATGATCCACGTACCCTACCATATTTTTTGGAAGTACAAATAATAATTCTATTGGTCTAGTGTTTAAGAAAGTAAAATAATTCAACATCAGTTTTAAAATGTGTTCTTTTTTTCTATTTATTGTCTGTAATAATGCTGTATGAATTTTTATATATATACTAGAGGCCCGATGCATGAAATTCATGCAAGAGTAGGCCTTCCTTGCCCTGGCTGCCGGCACCAGCTTCCCTATGGCACCCAGGACCCAGGCTTCCCTCGCAGCCCCGGCTTCTTCTGGAAGATGTAACATATTATGCTTTTATTATTATAGATATATTTAGAGAGAAGAAGGAGGGAGAGAGAAACATTGATGTGAGAGAGAAACATTGCAAACCTCTTGCACTCGCCCTGTCTAGGGTTCTGACTAGAAATCGAACCTGCCACCATTTGGTATATGGGACGATGCTCCAACCGACTGAGCCACATCAGACTGGCTGCATAAATTTATATTTTATGTTTAAAATATCATTTGTATGTAGAAGCAACAGAACTTATTGATTGACTATGTGTTAAGGAAAGGTAGGAATAAAAAAGTGACTCCCCAGATTTCTAGTATGAGCAGCTTAGTAGATGGTGATGTCATTTGTCAAGATGGGTAACATTGAAAATGCAACAGATTTAGAAGATAACATCATTAGTTTAGTTTTGAAATGTTCAATATATTAGATATCAAAATGGAGATATTAAGAATACAGTTGGATATTCAAGTTTAGAGTCTAAAAGAAAGATGTGAGCTGGAGATATAAATTTCAGAAATTTTTGAAGACCACAGGTACACAAGAAATCTTGTAGCGAGAAAGTGAAGGGTGAAAAAAGGGCCCATAAAGATGACAGAAGAGGCTTTCATAAGGAAATTGAGAAAGATTAATGAAGAGATACTGTGAAAATAAGAAAAATGTATGTAATGAAACCAAGTTTTTATGAGTATATGCATTAAAATAGCCTAATATAATTCTGGTGAATGAAATGTTTGGGGGCGATTTTTATGTTTCTTTTTCTTATTTGATAAAAATATCTTCTAATTAGGTGAAGAGATTAGCCAAAGAACATATATTCATAGCTCATGGACACAGACAATAGTGTGAAGACCAGGGGAGTTGGGGGGGGGGGAGGGTCTGGGTAGAGATGGGCAAAGGAGAGGATAGGGGACATCTGTAATAGTGTCAACAATAAAAAAAATGTATCTCCTAATTATACTAAAAAGGGCACATTTTTATTCTTTTGACATGTACAGGGGTATGAAGATTGGTTACGGCATAACTCAGATAATGAAGTAAATGGAGCTCCTGTTTATGTTGTTCGAAGTGGTGGCCTTGTAAAAACGAGATCAAAAAACATCCGGGTATGCATTTAGTAAATAATGTATATCAATTATATTTTGATGTCACAAACTTTAATCTGATTAATTTTATTAAAAGCCTGCTTTTCTACATTAAAATATTGTGATAGACTACTTGTTTAGAACCCAATTAGTCCTTGCCTTTTAAAATTGCTATATTCACTCTCCCCAAAATTCTTCATAGGTGGGTGATATTGTTCGAATAGCCAAAGATGAAATTTTCCCTGCAGATTTGGTGCTTCTGTCCTCAGATCGACCCGATGGTTCTTGTCACATTACAACTGCTAGTTTGGATGGAGAAACTAACCTAAAGGTTTGTATGTGTATAAAATGCCTTTGGATTATAGTGATATTTTCCTTTGGTTAAGGTAATAAAATTTGACCTGATAAAGGTGAAATATTTTTAAATTACTGAAAATTTTAAGAATCACTAAGTTTTTTAAAAGAAATAATGTTTTATATTTATTTCAAGGGTAGCCTCACATGGTTTAGTCAAGTTAAAAATGGGAAGTGTTTTTAGGAAAAATAAAATATTTTAATATTTTGGTGTTTTTTTTAGATAAGGGAGGTTTGAAATAGATGAGGATATAAAGTACAGCATAGGGAATATATATGTATATATGGTGCCAGATGGTTGCTAGATTTATCAGAGGGGGTCACTTAGTAAGTTATATAAATGTCTAATCACGGTTGTACACCTGATTATATTATAATCTATATAATATTGTATGGCTACTGTAACTGAAAAATAAATTATTTTTTCAAAAAGAAATAGATGATATGTAGGGTCCCATTTAGATCTTGAAACTGCAGTTTAATCCTTGTGTGTTTTTTTCAGACTCATGTGGCAGTTCCAGAAACAGCAAAATTACAAACAGTTGCTAATTTGGACACTCTTGTAGCTGTGATAGAATGTCAGCAACCAGAAGCAGACTTGTATAGGTATGGTGTGATAGTCAACCTACTCATTTTAAGTCCTGTTTACAGATCTCATTTTTACCATCATAAACATACAATGAAATCTTTAGCTAATTAAAGACATTATTGAAGAGGAGGTAGTGGAGAGATACATTTAAGGGAAAAAAGGCTAAAGCAGAATTTGCCAGAATTCTAATCCAAAGTATTAATTCAAAAACAGCGCTCTTTTATTCAGACATTTCTTTCCATTACTATATGAACTGGCTTTATCACTATAATAGGAAATTTTATAACAATAATAGTAGTTATAAGAGAAGTAAGATTAATATTATTTTTTTGATCCTCACCTGAGGATATTTTTCCATTGATTTTTTAGAGAGAGTAGAAAAGAGAGGGAATGACAGAGAGAAATATCGATGTGAGAGAAACACATTGATTGGTTGCCTCCTGCACAAGCCCCAACCAGGGCCCAGGGATAGGGAGGACCCTGCAACTGACGTATGTGCCCTTGACTGGAATCAAACCTAGAACCCTTTGGTCTGCAGGCCAGTGCTCTATTCACCGAGCCAAACTGGCTAGGGCAAAGTAAGATTATTTCGTTAGAAGAAAAGAACTCTGTGTATACATGTACTCTATGAAGGCAAGGGCTCTGTCTTTGTGTTCACTTGGAACGAATTCCTTTTAATGTTGTGATTTACTAAATACAGTGTAAGTCATCTTCCAGCGATAGACTAATTATTGTGGGCTGTGAAATAGGAACAACTTTTTATTATTAAAGTGATATACTAAACTCATTTTTACTCAGTAACTGATGATTGAATATAAATTATAACCACCTTGTAAAATTCACCCTCAGCTTCTTGTCATATAATATGTCTCCCTCTATTGGTTGAAATGTTCATATCTTATTAGTCATTTGCTTTTCCAGAATAATCTCTTACATAATTTGTTTTGGATACATATATTATTTATAATGGAGTTTTCTATGTGATGTTACAAAATTTTGTGGTTTCATTATAGTCAAATGAAGTATAGAACTTTCTAATTAGCTAAAAATTTGCTGTCCTATGCTTTAAGAGTTTAAACTATGAGATTTAACTGTGAAGAATTTAGTACTTAAGATTTCTATATTGCTATTATTTCCTTGTCTCAAAAAATGGTGAGTTGTAAAAAAATTTTATGAAACAGAGCATTAAGCAGGCATAAGATTAATATGAGATCAAGTATCACTAATGTGATGGTGGGTAGTTTTTATATTATCTTGGAAAATGTGGAAAAAGTTAAAACTTTTTAATAGGAAATAATTCACTATTAAATATAAGATGTTCCTCTATTTTATCTTTCTTTTTTCCGTACTGAAAGTATATATTTTGTTTTAAATATAAATGTAACTACTACAGAACACTTTTGTAATAGAAAGATGACTCACATTTATTGCTGTTTGTATTCATTCAGCAAGTTATTGTTGAGCACCTATCTGTTCATTATGCTGAGTGGGAAATAAGATGAATCAGCATGGTTTCTATCCTTGAGGAACTCATAGCTGTAAAGACATTATATATATAAAACTATATTTTTCCACTTTTCTGTATGCTACATATAAAGGGAATATTGAAAGCATTTTAAGTGTCCAAGAAGGGGAATGCTTAGATGGGTACATGGTATAGATATATAAGAGGGAAATATGTAGATTATAAAAATATTTTCAAAGAACTTAATGACATAAGAACATACTGAAATATAATGTTAAATAAGGTACAGAGTTGTAGCCCTAACTGGTTTGGCTCAGTGGATAGAGCGTCGGCCTGCAGACTGAAGGGTCCCGGGTTCGATTCCAGTCAAGGGCATGTACCTTGGTTGTGGGCACATTCACAGTAGGGGGCGTGCAGGAGGCGGCTGATCGATGTTTCTAACTCTCTATCCCTCTCCCTTCCTCTCTGTAAAAAATCAATAAAATATATATTTTTAAAAATATACAGAGTTGTAGCTCTCATAATCACAATTATATATTATTTATTTATTTTTTAAAAATTAAATCTTTATTGTTCATATTATTACATTTGTTCCTCTTTTTTCCTCCATAACTCCCCTCCACCCAGTTCCCACCCCACCCTCCGCCCTCACTCCCCACCCACTGTCCTCATCCATAGGTGTACGATCTTTGTCCAGTCTCTTCCCGCATCCCCCAAACCCCTTTCCCCCCTAAGAATAGTCAGTTCATTCCCTTTCTATGTCCCTGATTCTATTATAATCAATAGTTCATTCTGTTCCTCAGATTATTTATTCACTTGATTCTTAGATTCA